TATTTTTTCTAATTCTGACTGCCTAGATTCTTTTTTCTTGGTATTGAACGTGGACATGTCAGGAGACGGGAAGCATTTAACATGTTACTTGTATGTTCAAATTTATTTTTGTAATCTCATTCTATTCCACTGTTAGCTTCCTTAAGAATATTTTCTTCTTTAAAGTAATATTATCCTTTGTTTCCTATCAATATTTAATAGAGATGTTGTATTTGTTTCTCTATTTCCTCTCCTGGGAAAAGAGAACTTTCTATGTAGAAAGTAATTCTGTAAGATTAACATGCTTACAGTAGTCATAAAAATGGTAATACATATATATTTTTCATAAGAGAGACATCTGAAATCTCTGTATGTGAAATATTGCATTTTTCCTATGTGAAGACATGGGAAACTATGTAAAATATAAGGTCTTGATTGAGACTATAGATAGCATCTATAGAGAAGAGAAAAAAACTATTAAAATATATTAAATTTTTTCTCGCCTTCCCATGGTAAAGAAAGGCAAATGTGCCATTTTGTGAAACTCTCACCAAAAAAAAAAAAAAAAATCTGCAAAAATGCCATTTCAGTATTTCGCAAGCAAGAATTTCCACATTCACCAGAGCAGTAAGTCAAATGTTACCAAGTGAAATGACAGTATAAAATACTGATCCTACTGATCTGGGCATATATAAAAACTATCAGCACAACACAAATGGCCTTTAGACGTCATACAGCTAAAACTATTACTTTCCCTTTTGTTTTTGCAGCAGGATATTTACTCCTCTGCTTCCTCTTTGTCTTCCTCCTAATATTGATTAATATTGTTCATTTTACAAGAGCTGACTAAGATTAACTGAATATTAGAGGTTAGAAAAGTGGCTAAGGTGGCCAAAAAGACAAGACGTTTAATGTATCAAAAGCAACATATTAATGTTAGGATTTACTTATTTTCAGAAAGTTACGTCAAAAAGGACTTTTTCCTTTCACTCATTGCTTTTGCAGCTGCTATTTTGTGATGGTGATCCACTGTGAAGATGTCTTAATTTATCTCTTGTGTTTTATGGTAGGTTTTTTCCACATAGGGAAAAAAAAAAAACCCAGAGAGTACAGTTCAGCAATTAAGCCAAAGAGTTATATGTGAGTAGAGCTGTGTACTTAGCTAATTCTGTCTATACATTAGCTGAATTTGGTATCTGATTTGCACTCTGCATAAGTAAATCTCAGTAAACATTCAACTATATGAATATTCAAAGACAAAGTGGCAATGATAAAAGTGATTTTTTTGTACTCCTTATTTGGGCATTTTATGGACACAGGAGATTCATTGTGTCAGATATACCCATACACATTCTCTGAATCACCGCTAGCATAGTATAATAAAAGTAACAAAACCACATGGGTTTTTTAAGTGTGCTGAGAGAACAATATAGATGTATTCAGAGTTTAACAGTCATAAAAAACCTTTATATATTTTTTTGCTTACTTATAAAGTAAGAATCAGTTTCTCACTGGCATTTCATATATACAAAGGTAAAAGAAAATATGACACTGAATGTTCCTTAGTGCATACACAATACAAAAGTATAGATGCAGTCAGAAATAGAGGCAACATCCTACAAATAAGGTAAAATACATGACCTAAGCTATGGATGTCTCCCGTTCTCTTTCTTCAGTGTATGACATTGTCATGGTTTAAACCCAGTCAGCCACACAGTTTCTACTCCGCCACCTTTTTCTTTCCTTCCCGCCCCCACCGCGCGCTCACAGAGGGATGGGTGGGAGGAGGATTGAAACTATGTAACTCCCACAGGTTGAGATAAGAACAGTTTAGTAACTAAGGTATAACACAGATCACTACTGCTACCACCAATGATAATAATGATAAGAGAAATAACAAGGGAAGAGAATACGATACCACCCACCAAAATGAGCCTGACTGAGAAGAGAGTGCCCTTCCGGGTAACTCCCCGTTACATCCTGGGCATGACGTGCTGTGGTATGGAATACCTCTTTGGGTAGTTTGGGTCAGGTGTCCTGTCTCTGCTTCCTCCCAGCTTCCCCTCCTCCCTGGCAGAGCATGAGACTCACAAAGTCCTATGGCCAGTCTAAACATCTGAGCAGTAACTAAAAACATCGGTGTTATCAGCTCTGTTCCCAGGCCGAAAGTCAAAAACACAGCGTTGCACCAGCTACTAAGAAGGAGAAAAAAAATGACTGCTACTGCTGAACCCAGGACAGGCATGATGGAGAATGATGCAAGAAAGCCTACTCTTCCAAGCTGAAAGGTGAGTACCCTAATGATTTTTTTTCATTCATTAAAAATCTTTTTAGCTGCTTTATCATTATCAAATCCCTCTTTTTCTATCCTTAAAATACACAACAGTCTAATTGCCTAAGCATTTAAAACTTTTATAGTGATTGGTGATTGATCTCCCCTATCCTTATCTGGACCCATAATTCTTCATTATATTTTCTCTCCCTGTCCAGCTGACGGGAGTAGTGATGGAGCAGCGTCAGTGGGTACCTGACATTTAGAAAGGGTCATACAACACACCATAAACAGGAAGGTCTAACTCCTGACTGCTGGAAGTATTCACAAATTAAGGGATTAACTGGGGAAAGTGGAAGTCAGAACCAAATTGAATCTATGACCTGACATCAGGATGGTCGGTGAGCTAAATTAAGAGTTAAACTGATCCTGTGCCTGCTAGAAACAGATTGTCCTGAGCTTCACAAAGCTTTGAATTAGGCCTTCATACTGGAAAATGAAATCTAAGGTAGTCTGTAAAATACAGAGATGCCAGTGGATCCCTCTGAGTATTCAGTGTTCTTTACCAAATGAAGGAAGATTTTTCTAGGGTGTAAAAGCACCCTAGAATACATTCAAATAATGTAATAAAGTGCCTTGGGTTCCTTGTGCTATAATGTAGGAGGCAGTAGGGTACATGATTAGATGAAAGGGATGCTCTTATACATTGGGGCTCATGGGCTGGGCAGGGTGTACAGTATTAGGCTGCAACAAGAATGCATGCATTCATGTTATGAAGGCCTCTTTAAATTGGTCCCAGAAAGAAATAAATCCTTATCTAGTTCCAGTGTTGTAGGATCTGTGGCCTCATAAAATACACAATCCAGCATGCAAGTACAGTCACAGCAAACTAAAAGCTACTGGCACAAGGTATCGGAGACATCAAGAAGGCTGCACAACTGCACTGTACACATGTGAAATATAGCCTTGACTGTGGGAGAACTTGAAGCAGGAATTACCTGTGTAAACTGTGTGCATGCTGTAAACCTACAACCAAACACATTGCCAATTCCATGCATTAAAACTTACCATTCAGATTTCCAAAAAATCCTTAGGGTTGTCACACACCTCTGACTTTATTAATCTTTCTTCATATTTCACATCTTCAGAAGATTAGGCCTTCTAGGAGCTTCTAACACATAGCAAGATGTTTCCTGGGGCTGGAATGGCCATCCGCTAACCCCTGCAGCAAAGGTCTTCTGAGCAGCTCCCTTGCCTGCTCCCAAGCACTGCAGCCCCTTACAATACCTCTGGTACCCCACACACTCTCCCCTGTGGCCTCTCACCATGCCTGTGTCCTCCCTCCATCTCTCCCTCCCTCCATCTCTCCCTTGCACCACCAGCACCAGGCACAGCCTCAGAGATGCAGAAGAAGAAACAAGTTAGCTGCTTCTCGCAGCCATGGTCTCACTTTCTGCTTTTTAGCTGCTTGAGTTGAAGGCAAGTTTAGTATTAATTCAGGAAGGACAGGGAGCCCTGAGGATTGCCACTTCCTTCCAGAATGTTCTGAGCCTCTTGAAGGGCCAGGCACCTTCACCCTTACTACACAGGAGGCTGCTATCAGCAGATGAACCTGTGAACAGTTCCAGGCCCTTTCTGCACAAACCCCAACTCCATGTGTCCCTGACACTGATGCCTATTTTAGCTGAGAGACTAGTGTGGCAGCTGCCCTGTTTGGCTGTTGTTAGCTGCTGCCTGTCAACTAAACACATGCCACTCTGTGAGGTAGGTTGAAGTCCTGCATGCCCTAACATGCCACGAGTGGGTGCAGGCACACTATGCTATATACTGTGTAGAGGAACCTGTAGGTAAATCCCGTGTTGCCATTTTCTTGCTTAGTGCTGAAAAACCCAGCTGGGAAGATAGCTTCTCAGTGCTGGCTGCCCTTTCAGTGGAGGGCACAGGCAGTTGGCACCACAGCCATGTTCTGGAGCAATGAGAGGGGGAAAAAGGAGCCCAGGTGTTGAGTCAGGGAGCTACTTCAAGGTATTTTCAAACATATGAAGACTTTTATGGGAAGAAGAGAAGAAAAAGTATGGAAAGATTTGTGGAGTCTTTGCAGTTAAGAAGTCTGTAAAAACCAAAAGAAGATAAAATGAAGGTGGTCCAAGGGGAGAAGTTCAGCCGGAAGATGAGACAGCCTCTGAGAGGCCGTGAAGGTGTATCTTAAACTGAAAGGAATTGTGAGGAAGGAAAAGTAGTACCTTGGACTAAACAGCACTTTTCAGGCTTTCACTTTTCAGTGAAAAGTCTTTACCTAGAAGCAGTGTGATCAACAATAAATACTTCGGTTGACTGTAGTGTCACAAAGATGTTCTTGAGAGATTTCTGTTAGCCTGCTTTTTTTCCCCTTTTGTAAAAGGAATGGCACTGAGATGGGGGGTGTTGGGGTGGGCCTCCAACCAGCTTAGTCCAAGGAAGCTGAAAGACTGTGTTTAGGTGCCACTGTCTCAGAAAGCAACTTTTTGGTTTTTTTTTCCTGGTCTGTCTAGGTGGCTAAAATCACACAAGAAACCTGACCTACTCATAATGGGAGGGAGAGCACTCACGTGCCAATTAGCAGAAAGAGAGTGTACATTCCTGTTATCAGTCAAATAAGTTAATTGGCAAGCACTCACCTTTCATTCTAAAGCATCTGCCTATTCCTCCCATTCACGGGTTTTTCTTGTAAAGAGACAATTTGTACGGCTTTTCAAACTGATTTAAATATTTTGTTACTTAAGCTTTGCCTTTTCACTGAGTTTGAATAGGACTTCAAAACCTCGTTATTTGTTCTGAAAGGAAACCAATCTGAGGGTTTATGGATACGGGCTTGTTGCCACCTTTAATTCAGTTCCTGGTGGGATGCTCTGGGATTCTTTGTTTTCCTCATCTTTTCTCCAGACAGCTAATGTCTTAAGTTGCTGAAACCTGATTTTATGCAAACTGCTTCGTATGTGTTGTCTTAGGGCTCTGTACAAACACCTGGGGAACCCTGCCCATGTGCAGATTAATTTGAGTAGAATTGGCTATCTGCTGGTGTCAGCTACGAAAAAATGTTAGCAGCATTCTGGCCTGCTCACACAGGCTGACAGATTTCTGTTGTGTATGTAGGTAAAGCAACATATGGGGTCCTGGTGAATATACTGTTTTCTGCATAATCTTGGTGAAGCATTGCTCAGAGTTATATACATGAACACACTCTTTTTTTTCTGCTAACTTCCATCAGAGCTTGTATTTAGATAAGTAATGACAACATATGTTAGAGATTCTCATTTCTACGGATTATGAAACCCCAAAAGAAACATGGCTCCTTACATGGAGAATCTTTTTCACTCTAGCTGAAAATGGTAATTTTATCAGGGGATTCTTTTAAATAATTGGAAAAAAACCCACTTCTTTATTTCTTCAGCACACATATGTGAGTATCCTAGAAGCAGTGATAATTACCCTCACAGCTATTATTCCTTAAGTACTCAGAAACCACAGGAGTTTTAAAGAAAATAAAAAAAATCTCACAGAGCATTTTTTGTACTGAACTTTCTTTTATTTCCTCTCTCCCATTCTTAAAAACTTAACCTTCTAGTAAGCTGAAATGGCAGTACCGTTATTTTCCTTAACAGTTATGAATTGAGGGAGGAAGTAAGTAAAGGATGGAGCATAGTTTTAGTGGGAGTTTTGGAAAGTCTTTGAAGTGCCCTTTTGGATGCAGTGAACTGCATATAGAACTGGTGATAGATATTCTGATGCTCAACTAATCTATAAAAAAAGAATTGTTTGGGGTTTTTTTAGTATTACAATAGAAAATGGCTTTCTTTAAACATGAGACCTCACCTGCAGGATCTAGGTTTTAAAGTAAAGTATCAGGTATTGTGAGGCTGTTTGTGGCAAAAGATATCAGTGTTTTCGGGGACATAACTACACAGGCTAACTGTATCAATAGAAACAAAGTCTTCATTTAAAATGTTTCTTGGCTTTTACTACAGCAGAACCCACATGCAGATATGTTCTCTCCTAAAGTTAAAATACTTTTTTTTTTCTTTCCAATTTCAATCCTTGATTTGGAATAATTTCTTTAAAGGCTGGGAGGAAAAAAAATTTAAATTGTGAACTAGGTAATTCCATATACAATTTGAAATACAGCTAAAACTATGTCCATAGAAAGATTATATTTCCTTTAAAACCATGAGAATATAACTAAAGAAACCACCATGGATCTCAAATCTAGACTTACTGTGGAGTTAATTTTATTTTAAAAAGTAAATGCCTTTGATTTTAGTCTTAGTCTAAGTCTTTTAGACTTACTTGTAAGTCTAAAGAGAGACTGTGAAAAGCTGTATTTTATGCCACAGTCTCTCCCACCCGAGGAAATAACATTACATACAACTGTGATGTGTGTGGTGTGGTGTGATGTGTATGTGGCATACAGCTGGCTGGCTGGGTGAGCCTCAAGGACGCAATCTAGAATATGAAGAAGGCTCCACCTTAAATCATCTGTCTTGAGGTTTCACAACTGCCCCTTTCCTGCTAAGTGACATGCTGCAATTGTGCCTCATGTTGTTGCATGACTGCAATATGTGTTTTCTCAGAGCAAATCAGAAGAAAGCTGAATCCCGCTAAAAAGTTGTACTGTTTTAAACTCCTACTAAGGCACACAAGTTTAAGTATCTCAAGTTCACATTGTTATAGAAAATGTGACGGGTGCCTGCATTTGCAAAAAAACAAAAAAAACCAACAAAAAAAAGAAATTTTAAACATAGAACCATATAATTATAGAATGGTTTGGGTTGGAAGGGACCTTAAAGATCATTGAGTTCCAACCCCCCTGCCATGGGCAGGGACAACATAGTATTAAATGGATGAAAAGGGGTAATCTTTTTTGACACTCTTTTCCAGCGTGTAAAGAATGTCTGTGTGTGACTGCTATCAAAAGTATATACAATCATTGGTAATATCAGTAAGGCTTGTGAGCTTTCATGCCTGCTTCCTTTTTAAATGAAAACCTCTAGCAAGCGGTTGATTTACTATATAGCATCCAAGCAAGTGTGCACATGCATGGGCAGAGTCATAGACCAACTGGAAGGAAATTTGCTGATAGATTTTTACTCAGTCAATTACAGTGTGTGATGTCAGTGAAGATATCACTTTTCCTACATGTGGTACCCCTTAGTCAAGTATCTTATTGCTTTGAAAATAGGATCTTGTGATTTTATTCCACGAATGAAGAAATAATTTTGTGGTCTGAGATTGAACCAACACAGAAGTGCATTTCTTTTCCTTGAGATCCATAATTAATCTGCTACATCATATTCACCTTTTCTGTATGTGGCTTATCTTTCTTTTATGTGCCTCTCTTTCTTTGAAATAGGTTTTAAATTCCCAACCTGCTCCTCCTTTGTACACATATATAAAACAAAGGAAGAGTATCTTTTAATTCAGTTTTTTTTTTTTTGTACACATAGATCTACAATGACATTCAGCAGTCAGCAAAGGTCTCTAAATATCTCAACTCTGCAATCTTATTTTTGACAATATTTGAACAAACCCCTACCTGGGAAAAAGAGCACAGCAGAGACATTCTCTGAGAAAATTCATGTGGCCAAAAGAAAGCTCCCCTGTGAAGAAATTACATTGTAGTAGACATAGCCTAAAAAGGCAAACATATCTCTACTCAGTGCTGAAGATACTCTTTTAAAATTTTGTCCCCAAAGAAAGTGTGTTTCCAAGTAATAAGTTCCAAACTACAATTAGAAGTGTTAAGTACAATTCAGCAGGTGATTAACATTATCTACACAAGGAATCCTTCATGTATCACAGAATCACAGAACAATTGAGGTTGGAATGGATCTATGAAGGTCATCTGGTCCAACCCCTGTGCTCAAACAGGGTTCAAGACCGTGTCCAGACAACTTTTGAATATATCCAAGTATGGAGGCTCCACAGTCTCTCTGGGCAACCTGTGCCAGTGGTTGGTCACTTTCACAGTGAAAAAGTCTTTCCTGATGTTCAGACAGCACCTCCTATGTTTCAGTCTGTGCCCAGTGCCTCTGGTCCTGACACTAAAAAGAGCTTGGCTGTCTTCTTTGCACCCTCCCTTCTGGTATTTGCATACATACATTCTTTTCTCCCTGAGGCTAAACAGCCACAACTCTCTCAGCCTTTTTTCATAGAAGAGATGCTCCAGTTCTTTCATCATTGTGGCACTTTGCTGAGCTCTCTCTAAGTATGTCTCTGTCTTCCTTGCTCTGAGGAGCCCAGAGCTGAGCACAACACTTCAAAGGTGGCCTCATCAGTAATGAGCAGAGGGAAAGGATTACAGGCCTCCACCTACTCATGACGCACATCTCAGTGCAGCCCAGAATACCACTTGTGGCCTTCTTTGCCACAAGAGCACACTGCTGGCTCATGTTCAAGTTGGTGTCCACCAGGACCCCCAGGTCCTGTAGAATGCTTCGGTGTTTTGCTGGTTTTATTGTTGTTTTTTTTTTAAAGTGATAATTGGCTTTAAAAATAAAAAGTTATGACCTGAAGATGAAGAATATTTTAAATGAAAACATACAGCCATACCAGTCAGTCAGACTGGTTTAATGCATCTCCTTTTTGAAAGGACACATGTATTTCCTATGCCTCTTAGGGACGATGAAATAGCTGCAGCTGTCCAAATAGCAGTGTATGTTTTCTGTTAAATGTATTTTGGGGATTGGCTCTGAATCCTTTACCTATTAGATAGTATTATGAAGTGTAGAAAACAGAAATACTGAGGCATGAAGCCTGTCTATTATGCAACAGTGACATACTGTTTTCTAATGATACATCCGTGTAAGGTGGCCTCTCCTGCTATGTGGTTAGATCCATATTTTACAGTTTTTCAAAAATAGCAAACTTAGTTCTTATGCATGTTTTTACATAGTGATTTGCACATGGAAGCTAACAATCCACATGTCTAATTTCTAGCCATATTGATTCACAAGATATCTAACCTTGTGACAGCCTCATGTCAAAGTTTCATCAGACTGTTTCTTTGGGAGCATGCTAAATGGGGAAACTTGGCTGTGAAGGCAGAATAAAATTAATTTATGTTTTTAATAATATTATTCTTTCCACATTGATAAAATGTGAGATAATAGGATATACTGCACAGTTTTCACATCTTATCATGAAATATCATGGCATTACTAATAGCTCAGGGCTAATAACCTCCTGAGCAATGTAAATGCTGAACACCCAGCATGTTTTCTCATTCTGATGGGACTCTTTTGAGTTGGTCAGTACTATGGTATTGTTCTGCCTGTCCCCACCCTTAAAGTGTATATACGTAAAAAGCCCCTTAAAATCTACTTCTTATTGTGATTAAAAGCTATTTTTAGAACCAGGTAAGTAAGGCAGAGAAAATTGCATCAGCTGGGTGAAACAGAGCACATCACATCTTCCTCTCACCAACTGTGTCTTCACTTTCAGTCTTGGTCTTATATCAGCAACTTTCAGAGGCTCCCTGGGTTGCGGCAAATTATAGATGATCCTGTCTTATCCCTGGGAGCCATCTTTCTTTTCATCATCACTGAAGCCTGATTGCTTTTGTGCGTCTTACCCCTCCTCCCTTATTCCTCTCTATTATGGACATATTGGTCTTTGCCCCACCTACGTCAGAAGCCTATTTCTACAGAGTATTCTTAGGTTTTGTTGGGGAAGAAGGTATCCCCCATTCACTCCAGAGGGTTCCACATCCAAGGACAAAGTAAACAGCTGAATTTTTCTCAGCTGTTTCTTCGACAGGAGCACACATACTAGATTCAGGATACTGCTAGCAGCCAAATGAAAGCAAGTATCTCCTTTTACAGCCCTACTTTATGATTTCCTTTGTCTGTAGGTATGCTTAGATAAATATTATATTGCACATACTACTAGATAGCCCACATTAAAGTCCTTCCAACTTCATGTTTCAGCAACCAACTCATTAGTGACTGCAGATTTGTGTGCTAGTTACTCTGGTATTGCCCATGTAAATAAGTAAATAAAATTAAATAAATTAAAAAAATCTTGTTCACTTTATTCTCAATTTTACTTGTGAAACTAAATTGTATGTCACCTACCTAAATGATGGCAAGATGTAATGTTCACCTTACCTGCAAAAGCCAGTAACAGATATAGTGTGGAATGATGCAGGACATGGGAAGTCACCATGAGAGGGAAAGGCAGCAACAGAAACAGTAGAGTTAAAACATGAGAGACTGAGATAGGAAATGAGGAAGTACCATCAGGCCTGTGTGACAGGGGTATATTTTGGCCATTGATACTGCATGTGCTACTTACAATTCCAACCATTAAACTGCCTTCATTTGTTCATGAACCTCATTTACTCTGGTCAAGCTCTAAATTGGATTATGGTGTAATTATTTCAAAATGGGATATTTCAGATTTTTATATTTTAGTAGATGGATCTGGGAGGAGAATTATCTTCATGCTTTGTGTACTTTTCCTCAACTTTCCAAAGACAGTGCATCCTCTTCTTTATATATTGGTCTTTATTTTTTTCTTTCCTCATTCTGATTATACCCTATATTGTCTGTATTTACCCAGAATGAGATTTCCTGTCTTTAAAATAGGCTTCCCACTCATGTTTCACTTCCACTTGTATCCCCAAATAAACATTTAGTCATCTTAAAGACAGAAGAATGAAAATAACAATAAAATCATAAAATACCAGGTTGGAAGGGACCTCAAGGATCATCTGGTCCAAACTTTCCTGGCAAAAACACACTCTAGACAAGGTGGCCCAGCACCCAGTGCAGCTGAACCTTACAAATATCCAATGTTGGGGATTCAGAAGTTTTCTTTTTGACTGTACTAATAGATTTCTGGACCCTGCCTAGAAAAATGTTTGCAAAGAAGAGCAACAGCAAAAAAACCCTACAAAAAAACAAACCAACCGCAGCAGCCCTGTGGAGAAGGACTTGGGGGTTCTGGTTGATGAGAAAATGAACATGAGCCAGCAGTGTGCGCTTTCAGCCCAGAAAGCCAACCGTATCCTGGGCTGCATCAAAAGGAGTGTGACCAGCAGGTCGAAGGAGGTGATCCTGCGCCTCTACTCTGCTCTTGTGAGACCTCACTTGAAGTATTGTGTGCAGTTCTGGTGTCCTCAGGACATGGAACTGTTGGAACAAGTCCAGAGAAGGGCCATGAGGATGATCAGGGGACTGGAGCACCTCCTGTATGAAGACAGGCTAAGGAAGTTGGGGCTGTTCAGCCTAGAGAAGAGAAGGCTGCATGGAGACTTCCTAGCAGCCTTCCAGTATCTGAAGGGGGCCTATAGGGATGGGGGGTGGGACTCTTCATTAGAGACTGTAGTGACAGGACAAGGGGTAACGGGTTAAAACCTAAACAGGGGAAGTTTAGATTGGATATAAGGAGGATATGTTAGGAGGATATGTTAGGGTGGTGAGGCACTGGAATGGGTTGCCCAGGGAGGTTGTGAATGCTCCATCCCTGGCAGTGTTCAAGACTAGGCTGGATGAATCCTTGGGTGAGATGGTTTAGTATGGGGTGTCCCTGCCCATGGCAGGGGGGTTGGAACTAGATGATCTTAAGGTCCTTTCCAACCCTAACTATTCTATGAACTATTCTATTCTAAACAAAAATCCAAAACAAAACCAAAAAGCCCCACAAACCTGCAGCAAACTGCATTAAAAAAAAGGGTTTCTTGTTTCATACTGCATTTCCCACTTGCCTTGCCTTTCCTTCCCACCCCCCTTCAAAATCACCCTACTTCATTGCTGTCTTCAATATTTTAATTAAAACTATTGTCGTGGTTTAAACCCAGTCAAGTAATTCGTTTGCTCACTTCCCCCCTTTTCTTGCCCTCCCCCTGCTCTCGGAGGGACGGAGAGGAGAATCGAAAAGAATGCAACTCCCACGGGTTGAGATAAGAACAGTTTAGTAACTAAGGTATAACACAAATCACTACTGCTACCACCAGTGATAATAATGATAAAGGAAATAACAAGGGAAGAGAATACAACACCTCACCACCAGCCGACCGATAACTTGCCCCCCCTCAGCCCAACCAAACACCGACCCATACCTTCTCCAACCCTGCAGTCTCCCAGCCTTTCTGGCTAACTCCCAGTTACATCCTGGGCATGACGTGCTGTGGTATGGAATACCTCTTTGGTCAGTTTGGGTCAGGTGTCCTGTCTCTGCTTCCTCCTGCCTTCCCCTCCTCCCTGGCAGAGCATGAGGCTCACAAAGTCCTTGGCCAAACCAAAACATCGCTATCAGCTCTGTTCTCAGGCCGAAAATCAAAACACTGCACTGCACCAGCTACCAAGAAGGAGAAAAATGACTGCTACTGCTGAACCCAGGACAACTATTTAAATAAAAAACATTACAATTGTATATTTAATTTCTTTTTTTCTTAGAAAAGGTGATGTTATTTAAAAGAGGTAAAGGGACTTTGCACATGGTCAATTCATCACAGTCAGCTGATTCTTGTGAATGAATTCCATCAGGAGAGCAACAAGGTCTTTGGTAGCTGAAGGCTTTGTGTATAGTAGATCTTAGTGTACTTAAAGAAAGACCGGACATTAATAGGAAAGGTAAAACAGTAAAATGCTAGCAGCTTGAAAATGGAGGAGAAAATGAGAATAGCAGTTTCTACTGAGGAGCAAATACTGTGTACTCTAAAGCTCTGGAAGAAGGATGGAAGAGCCATCAGGATTGAAGTGTGTAAGGAGGGCAGAGGAAAAGAAGGTAAGATCAGAAATGGGTTTGGAAGAAGGAGGGAGGGAGATGGGTAGTGTTTTCTTCTGCCCTCAGTCTTGCTGTGTTTTGTGTGGTTTGATGGGGTTTTGTTTGGTTTTGTTTGTTTGTTTGTTTGTTTTCCCTAGAGGACTATCTACCAGAAATTTGCTGGTTTTCAGAACTGGCTGCGGATGAGCTATTACTTGTATAGCCAAAGAGAAGTCTGTTTATGAATAGCTGCTTAGTAGAACCTAAGAAAATTGAACATTGATCTCAGAGTAGTGTCTCTATAAGAACAATGCTAACAAGGTGCATATTTTCTGTTTGGATTCCTTATGCCTGTGTATTTTATTTTCCAGCATGCTACCTTAGCAATTAATTTGAGCACTTCGTTCTGTAATAGGTCTCTTAGGAGAGAAATAGTTGCATCTCATCCTACTTCACATGCTTCTTGTCTTCCCTGTGGCTGACTTCACTTCCAGTGATACTTTGCCTTATGTAAAAATAGAGATCATCAATAACTTTATTTTAGATTATGTGAGAGTTCAGATGCATGGAGTTACAAATCAGTTTCATGTGTCAGATATTACAATGCATACTCTAAAAACTGGTTTACATGATCATTATGTGACTGAGGGTACAGTCTTCCCAGTAGAAACTTCTCTCCTCATCTGTGTTTTGCCCATGTAGGGTTTGCCGTATAGACCATGCTTTAGAAATAGGTAGATTTCCAGACTAGTTGCTTCTATTTTCCTCATGGGTCATTTAGTATTGGATAAGTTGTATTTTGCTTGGCTCTGGGATCTTTTTATTTCCTTGAACCTAATGAATTTACTTAGTAGGGATTGTAAAAAAAAATGAAAAAAACAAACCAAACCAAAACCAATTCGTACCAATTCCCCAAATATAATAAACTTTTGTAACTTTTCCTAACAAATTTTTTTATGTACAAGGCCATTACTTGCAAATGACTTACAAACTGTAATGTAGCAATAGGATGAAGTGGAATATTTTCATATCTGGATTAACTCTGTACTAGACTATGAACTGAATCACACCTGGTCAGTAGTTCCTCATCAACTTACATGTCTTCAGTGTGCAGTGAGGTTGGCTTAGATCTTAGCCTGTTCCCACCTGCATAATCACCTAGAGACAAGACACATAAAATACCATGAAGGTAATAAAGTAATATAGGCTCTGTTTAACCCATGCAAATAAAAAATTGAAGTTCCTAGATAGAAGAGCCTTCCTGCCACCCTATCCCCAGAATCACAGCATCAACTTAATTGAAAGAGCTGTAATTTTTTTCCTATACTGTTTTGAAAGAATTGTTTGTGTAAAATAGATTTTTAAGAAACCAATAGTAATTATATATATATCTAAATCTTTTAGTTCTCCAGAATTGAGCCAACTAGCATATGTTTCCTGGAATAGCTTTTTTTTTTATCCGTCTGCCTACAGGTAGAATTCTGAAGTTTTATACCCAAACAGAAAATAGCATACAATTGATAAATATGTGAACATCTCAACTGCTTTCAACCTCCTTATGTATTTCTATAATGTTAACATTAAATTGAACTTGGAAGTAACTAAAAGAGAGAATCTGATGTCTATGCTTAATACTTTCTGTTCCAGAAATATCTTTAAAGTGCACACTGGTAGGGGTTTGCTTCAAAGTTTATTGTAGTTGCATTTTCCTAACTGTACATGGTTGATTTGAATTGTATTTGCCTTGAAACCTATATGAAATTGCCACTGAGTTGTGAAGAACTGCAGGTAGAGGATACTTCAATATGAGAATATATCAGTCTTTTATTTTCAGAATCTGTACATTTTAAAAATAGATGAAGAAGCTCAATTGACTGTAAATGCCTACAGTAGCTTTAGCAAATATTTTATTTTGTTGGGGTTTTTTATTTTCATTCATTTTATAGACTTGTGTACGATATACAGACTTTGGACATGACAGTGAAATGAAAAGTGATCAATTTCTCCATAGATTCTAATCAATTTATATGAATATGAAACACAATAGCACTTTAAGGTCAATTTTAGCTTCACATAAAACCACAGGTTTTTAGTTTTCCTTTAGAGAGGTCTAAACACTGAAAGATACACTTCTATGTACAAGAAGTCCTGCCTATGAGAAATGCATTAGAAAAGGGCAGTATATCTAGGAAACAAAAAGCAGTTGATACAATGTAGAAGTATGCTAATCTCTCCATTGCTTTTGAAAAATCATTCTACTTCTTCACAAGTGAGCTGAGAAAATGCTGAATCTTCATCCTAATTCATTGTGGGATTTCTGCTTATATGATTAATTCTAATCATTGTATAACCCTTCTTTAGAAGAGAAATAAGAGCTCCTGTGCAGATGGACTTTGCTAAAGATGAAGTGACAAGGAACATCAGAGGATTTTGGTTCTAACTTGTTAGTGCATCCATCTTCTGTTTGGGTTCCCTCTGAGTTCAGCTCTTTTATCTGTTTTTCAGTTCACACAGAAAAGAGCCCTACTTTGAAACATTCCAGGTTTGTTTAAGGAAAACAATGCCCTATGAACTATTGCAATTTTAATTCCTTTCTAAGAAAATAATCTTTCTAACATATGTGATTTGGGTAACATTAATTTTTGCTTACTCTCCCTTTTAATGCATGGAACTTTCTTTTCTATTTAGTACATGCATGCATCTGTCCCCTTTCCATGTGTTGTATGTCCTTTCATTTCATGCTTCTCTTTTGTATCAGACCAGCTTTCATCCATTTTCCTTTCTCCCTATGCTCAGCAACATATGTATGCATGCTTTTCTTTTAACCCATCTGAGAGCCACATGCTGTGCACCTGTCTCAGTCAAATATGCCTCCTGAGCCTGTGTTGCACAAGACAGGTGCGTGAACCCTAACCAGTATATTAATAAAAGGAAGAGGGTTCAACCATAAGGACATTACACAAGATATTAATGCAATAGTATGTTTGCTTGACCTTATTTCTAGTTGCACAAACCCATCCTATTTTGCTAGACTTCCACAGTAAACTCAAAATGGTATTTGAGACATTAAGCTGCTTTTGCTTGTGCTCGTCTGCATCTTCAACTTCACAGAAACTCCTGCCCTGACAGTCTAGATCTTACCAGCATCAGAGAAAACATGCCCTATATATTTTGAGTTAGCAATAACTGATTACTTTTCTCCTTAAGGATTTTTAAAAAAGTAGGGAGTTCAGAAAGCCAGTTTGGTTGTTAATTCAATTCTGTCTACTCTCAAAATTCAAAAAAGGGGTATACCATAGTTTTCCTTTTACAATGCCAGCACAGTAGTAAGTTGAAAATAGCTGTGGCAACAAAAAGAAGACATTTTTATTAGCACCTCTACTTGGTAATTAAACCATGTGAATGATACTAGTAAAGAATTTTTATATACCATTTTGCAGATAGTCAATAATAAAGCAGAATTTGGAAATGAAATAAATTCCTTATTCATAAGCATTAAGAGTTAGTTCCAAGATGGGGTTATAACCTGATCTGTTCACTTTCAATTTTTACCTGGTTCAAACCTGGACTTTAGAAAATTTTGCTTTTCTTTCATTGGAAAACTATCATAAAATTTTCTAATTTTTTTTTTCAGCTGTTTATCCAGTTACTGAAACTAAACCTCTGTGGTTTCATTACACCACCTGGAAAAACGGTGGAAACTTTTATTTATTGTTTTTAATCTTGAGTTAATTTCAGAAAATACATAAATGAAGAAATTGATGAAAATTGCAACTAGTGAAAACATTTCAGAAACGTAAGGAGAAGAAATTACAACTACTTGCTACAGATCATTTGCACAGCCTTAGGGTACAAGTTAAGTAACAAATCCTTTTTCCAGAGCTGTTGACAAAGCTAACACCACACTGACAGTCCAGGAAAGAGTAGGGCAGGACCAGCTTTTACTCCTGGGCAGAAAAGCAGATACTTTCTAGTATACAGAGAAACGAAGTTCAGCGACTGGAGGAAAGAGTACAAAGCAGAAAGTGTGGCTTCTAAGCCTCTTTGTGCCATCAAATTTTCAAAAACCCTGTAAAATAAGGCAAGATCTTCTGTTAGTGCATATTGCCATAATTGGTGTAATTTAGAATATCTCTACTATTTTCACTTAAGCTGAGGATTTAGCACATTTTGACAGTCTCAGTGACAGAATATGTTATAGATATTTGCTTGACAGAATTTATACAATTTAGAATTGGCTTGCTTGATTAATTCTTTGTGCTTGTGCCTGCCCCCTCCACCTACCATGCTGAGGGCTCTGTCATTTAGCATGACTCCATTATATTCAATTGAGCAGAGGCTGCAGGAGGCCAGACACATATGTCCCAGGACCATATAAGTGCTATTTAGCTGGATGTACTCTGCAAAGCCAGAGGCACTCAAGAATCTACAGAAACACTCACATTAGTGACATAATACTGAGCGCCTGCACCATGTTATGTAAATGTTCATTGTGATGAAGTGTATGGTGTTTGTTCTCAGCTGGTTGTACTGTTGTATGTGTAAAGTAGGTTGCTGTTGTTCGCAATAATTTACAGCTAATAGTGTTGACAGTGTTCTTGACAAAGTTTAAAACATGTTCAACTGCTGCTGTACTCTTACCACAATTTTTTACTTTATAGGACAACTTCCTTGACTTTCTGTATGCCACTAGAGAGAAGAATGGAAGGAGTTGTTTGAGGTATACAAAATTAAGGGATGGGCACACATCCAGGGAATCTCAGAGGGAAATATGGGCAGTGTGCCATGCACTGAACTTGCTACATATGCGCACATCTGATCTAGCACGCATACGCTATGCAGATGGTTAGCAATTGCACAGATCAGCTCCACAAGGCATGTCCAGATCCCACTTACCCTGGGTGTCGGGAAATCCTGGTCACATGGCCAGCCTGTGATTTCTCTCCTCTTTCTCCTTCCAGTCCTGAAATTATGTCTGAGGAGGGAGGAGAAGAAAAAGAGGACATGCTGAGGAAGAAAGACATACCAGGCTCTTGTTAACATTAAACACATTGAAAATGGCTAGGTTACCATAAACTAAGGAGCTTCAGGACCTCAGATGAGCTATAATCTACTACTGTGTGTGTATTTTTAGTTTGCTGTTGCAGTGTAAAATGTATTCACTTCACTTAAGCTATGTCATAATAACTTGCTGTGAATACTGAAATAAAATGCTAATTCGATACAGTTGGAAGAGAGCACATGGCAAATTACTGTAATACCACTGATGGCTGGTAACTCATTTGCCTATGGTAGCTTGATCAGTTCTGATCAAATGCTTTTTCTCTTAATCTACCTGCTCTTTACTAATGGGCCTTCTCTAACTAAAACCTGCACAAATTTTAAGTTCAATTAATTTAACTTTATGAGTTAGAATGTTTGTCTTAACCAAGTAAGCCATAATTAACCATAATTAGAAATACAATATTTCTTAAATCTTCTTCATTAATCAGAGAAACTTATTTTTCTTCACAAGACTAAAGTTTAGTTTTTCTAAATAAAAATATAATTCATTTTACCAAAACACTTCTGCCTAAACAATCTATTTGATACTGTTTTAAAGTATCAGTCTAATTTTAGGTGGTCTGACTATTCTCCCATTGGTAGATAGATTTTTTTTGCAAATATTTTGCATTAAAAATTGTGATAATTCAAATCAGGATCCATATTTTTCAGAAAATAAAAGGATACCATCCAAGGAACAGAAACCAGCCTGATCCTGTGCCACTGCAACTTTGCCATTTACTTTGTTGGCATCATATTGTGGTGTTTTTTTTGCAGCTGGTCTTTGAATGAATTACCTAAAGGTCACCTATAGGTGTCTTAGCAGAATTTCTTTAGTTGCTTCCTGTGACAGTTTGAAAACTAATGGTAAATTGGGTTTAGATGAGACAAGAGCAGCTATGCCTCCAGGAATAGTTCCTTTCTGTTCCTAAAGAAAAACTTTCTTTCTGTTCCTAGGAAAAATGGCATCAGATTCAGATGTCTTTCTCCCATAATATTGTATTGCCAATACAAAATATTAAATGATTTAAAAAATTAGTGTATAAATATTTAGGGAGTTGGATCTTTCCTCCATTACATTCTGCTTCTGTTTAATTCTAGGAGTACTCACAGAGCTTCTTGAGACCATCACTACTCATATTTGGGCTAAATGTTATTTGTGTGTTGTGTAGATCTGGCTTAAAAAAAAGAAAAAAAAAATCAATATTTGGAGAAAATAGATGTTTTTTCCCCTCTTTTTGTTTCTGCAAGGTAGCCAGTGAAGAATAAACAACCCTATCACAGTGAGGATGGTTTAAAAGAGGGAGTTCAATCAGTAGAATTAATAAGGCCTTATACAAATGTGATACCTGCTGTAGTTCTTCTGGTTCTCAAATGCTGCCATTTCAACCACAGAAACAGTTTGAAAATACTTCTCACTTTACTTAAAAGCTTTTATATCTGGATTGCTTGCTTGTATTGGAATCCTTATCCTCACCCCAGAGCACAGTGTTCAGAATTTCTTCAAAAATATTATCTACTTGATTCACTTTTTTCTTTTTCCGTTAATCCTCTCTTTCGTTTTTGACGCTGAAGACCTTTTTTTTCTTCTAAAATTCATGGATTTTGTCCCTGATTCATTTCAGACAATATACTTTGCATATTACTTCTCACTGCATTTAATAATGTCATCATTTATAAACTGTGTAGGCAATGTATTTTTGTGCTAATTCAGTTTTTGTTAACAAGTTATCATTTCGGGTACTCTGAGTACAAATATAAAAATTCAGATATATGCTCTATAGTGTGTACATATATAAAAACTTTCAAGTTGCAGCAAACCAATGTCTTCTTTTTTCTGACTGTACTCTTGTGCTCAGACTGGGATTGCACAGATGTGCTGCTTTTTTTTTTTCCCATATCACATACATTATTACTACTAACCTGTAATCTAGCAATTATGCTACAGTTAAAAATGGTTGTAATTCTTTCTGAAGTTTAATGTGAAGACTTTTGAACTGGAAACTGAACCTTTACTTTGAAAATGCCTTTGTATTTTAATTGTAAATATGTGATTAGTATCACCAAACAATTCAGGTTGAAAATGATCTCTTGAGGTTATCTGATTCCACCCCCTGCTCAAAGTTAGCCTAGCCTCAGGATCAGAGCAACATGCTCAGGGCTTGTACAATCAAGTTTTGAATATCTCCAAAGCTGGAAATCCCATAGCCTTTTTGGCTTTCCAGAGCTGACATGGAATCACAGAATAGTTTGGTTTGGAAAGGACCTTCAAAGGTCATATAGTCCAACCTCCCTGCAATGAGCTGGGACATCTTCAACTACATCAGGCTGTTCAGAACCACGTCGAGCCTGGCCTTGAATCCTTGAATGTTTCCAGAGATGGCACGTCCACCACATCCTATAAGGAAGAATTTTTTCCTTATGGTCAATAGGAACTTCCTTTGTTGCAACTTGTGACCATTGCCTCTCATGCTATTTTTGCACATCTGGGGAGAGTCTGATTCTCTTCTACATAATCACTTATAATATTGTTGAAGACAGCAGCTGAATCCCCCTTAGCCTTCTCTTCTTCAGTCTGAGCACACACACTTCTCTCTGCCTCTGCCTGTATGTCATGTGGTCCAACTCTGTAAGTCAGTGGCTCTTGTCTGGACTTTCTCCAGTTTATTGATGTATTTCTTGCAGTGGGGACCCCAAGACTGGACTGCTTCAGATACAGTCTCAGACTTTCCAGTTAGAATGGAGTAAATATTTCCATCATCCTGTACCGTATCTAGTACAGCCCTGTATGCAGATAAACCTCATTACCTCAAGGGTATACTGCTGATTCATGCTCAACTTGCTGTCCACCAAGCCTCCAAGTCCTTTTCTGTCAAACTTTTTCTGTCAGTCCTTAGTCTGTACTGTCGCATTAAGTTACTTCTTCCCAGATGCAGGACCTTGCATTCATGTTCATTTGAGGAGAAGAGAGGAGAGGAAAGGAGAGGAGACTGTCTGTCTATTTACCTCTTGTGAAGCAATTAATCAAAAAAAAAAGAAAAAAATTATAATCAGCCTGCTATCCAGGTTCAGCGCGATGTCTGACAAACTGATATTGAAGGAAGGAGCAGGAGGTGGGAACAGGAGCAGTAATCATGTGGATAAGAAGGTAGATCAAGTGAGAGGTTGTCACTGATGCCACTCACATGTTTTCTAAATGCTTCTTGTGGAGTTATTAGCATATTTCAGGTTTGTGGTTTCTTTTTCCAAATAAGTGTGCATAAACAAACTTCTTAACAGCAACAATAAATAATATAGTTAAATTTGGTCTCTGATGGTTTTGAGTTCTGTAATCAGCACCAAGGAACTTCTGGGTGTCCCAGTATGCATGTATTCTCATGGTTCTGCTTGCGGTTTCCATACACCCTTGAGTGCAAATCGGTTTTGGCACCCAATTATGAGTGAGGAAGACTGCCGATTTTAAAGCATTGCTTACTCCTCTTAAAACCCTCTGCTTGGAGGCCTGGGATTTAGAGTCTTGTTCTCTGACATTCAAAGCTTAAAGAGCAGCCTAAGCCCCCTGGAACCTGGTCAAATATCCTTGCTTATAAGTTACCATGCAAGGATGACCACCACTTCTTCCTAGCATAGCTTCTTCTTTTTAAAAATATGGTTGCAGTTGCATGTTGAGAGGATAACAATGGAAGACAGAGGGTTTCTTAAATATATTTGGCTCATGCCATCTGCACCAGATCCTCCCAGTCCTAACTACTTTATGAAGCTGCTACAGTTTTACTTGGAATAAGGCATTTAGCTTCTTTAATCTGACAATGCTATGAATGATCAAAATGCTAGACACTATTAAAGACATAAATTTTCTTAGTAAACAGTGAGTTTCTAAAGATGATATTTTACTAGGATAAGACAATGGCAAATGGGATGGTTTGGGATAGCAGTTTTTGTCTTGTGTAACCTAAATGGGATTAAATCCCATTGTAAATAGGGTGTGAAATTTTGTGTACCTGTGCCCAGAACTGCCCCCACAAAATATCTAAATGTCACATTAAGGAATTCAATAAAATGTCTGTATGTATGTGCAGTACGTATACACATATATATATATATAGCTAAAAATATATGATATCCGTATCTTTTGTATGCATGTTTGGTGATCTTGTCTCAAAAAAAAAGATAAAGGAAATTGGGGAAAAAAAACCAAAACAGTGAGGTTCAGAGGTGAGCAATAGCTTCTGTGCAAGAACTTTCACAGCCAGAACTTCTCTGCCTGGCACGGGGAAAATAATGGAAGGGGAGATACATGAGTGATGATCTATAAAAGTTGTGGAGAATGGGCTTCAGAATGATTTGCCATGCAATAAATGAAGGGGAAGATTCCCAAAGAAATTATCATACACCAAGTATAAAAGAAGAAAAAAGACATTGTGAAATACATAGTAAATATATTTTACTACACAATTGCATGCACAATTCTTTAACATTAAAAGCATATGATGGGAAAAAATGGATTGGTTCAAAGAGAAATTATCAGACTTATGGAAGAATATTGACCGAGGGGTTGAGCGCAATTCTGCCAATGCAAATTTTGGCTTAGGATATCCACACAACACAAGCTGCTGGGCCTTGGAGAATATGCCAGGGGAATAATAAGTATCTGTGCTGTTTTATGTTTGCCTGATCATTAGTTACAGTGTTGAGTGTCCTGAATCACATACTTCTTATTCTTATGAACATAATGGAGATATACTGTGTCCTGACTGAAGTTTCCTGAATATTTTTTTTGCAATATTAACTAGTTTTGAGAATTATCTAACCTTAGTAACTAAACTAACTGTTTTTCAAAAAAGGTAGTACATGAACTAAGCAAGCTTTTTAATAAAAATGTGTCTTGCGATATGGTCATTTTTCTACTGAAAATGGAAACCCACTGATATTTCAGACAGGCAAAAAAGAAACAAAATGAAAGAAAAAAGCAAAACGTGGAAGAACTTTTCAGCTTTATTATTATTATTCCTTACTAATAAGTACAAAAATGCCTTGCAAAGAGTCGTTAGGGGCTGCACCCTAATTCAGTCTCAAAATGGCATCTTTGTCAGGTAATTGCACAGGGCTGGCAGAAGTTTCCAGGAAGACCTACCTAGAAACCTTTGCCTACTGAAGCAGGCACAGCTGGAAGCTGGGGAGTGTCATAGAGCACTAGTTGCCTCTGTTTAGAAAACTGAATCAGCTTGAAAAAGTAAAGTAGTTTTATTAAAGTAGTAAAGTGTTTCATGGTGAGATTAAAACATCTACAGGAAGATGTGCTCAACATCTTAGTTCCCCTTACAAAAAAATGAGAGTGGAGAAATACATGTGATGGAGCCTGGGAAGCTATTCATTTCTCTCTGAAATATACATACCTTATTTGAATACCTCAAATTCCTTCAGGCAATGGTAACTGTTTTGACTAGATCTCCACTAACTATAATGGGACTTTAACCACTGACATGTATATCTTAACATTAAAGTGAATCCTTCTTTCAACTGCAGCTTTTACAAACAATTTATTGGCTTTTTCAGCCTTATACATTCCTTTCCAAGCTTTGCTATAATGCCTGTTTTATACCCCATCCTGGACTAGTCTGCTATTTCTCCCTTAATTTCATCACATCCCCTTAGAAGACACACATAATTCAAGAGGTCTGTTATCCTATGTCATGTCATGGAAAAAAATGTGCTACAAACTGTGGAAAGTTCAGTAGAAACAATGAAATATGTTCTAATCTCAATGAGCCTATGAATTCTGTCACAAATTTTTCTTTGCCTGTCCTTTATTTAATTGGTCATCTTCTTCAAGACGTTTAGTGCTTCAAATCACATTTTTTGCCCGTGTGCATATCAAGTCTTTGGTCAGGTTTTGAACTGCTGCAGTTATGCAAATTATATGTATATACATACACATATATGAGTATGCAGCATGACTTTTAATTAGTAAAGAATTACTCCTTTACTCATGTATTAGTATCAACAGGAGTTTAGGTCCTGATTCAGAAAAGAATTCAAGCATGTTTCTATTCTCAAGTCATCACTGGGAAAGCAAAGCACGCAGGCTTGACAAGCACAAAACAGGCTTTTCAAATTAAAACTGCATGTTTTGTACATGTTTGTTTAAAACGTATCTTGGACCATAGTCTTCAAGAACTGTGAAAGCCT